TTTTAATATTTGGAGGGACAGTAGATACGTAGACGAGTGCACGTTGGTCGTGTTGATTTGTTATTAGAGTTTTGAGCAGGGGCCTTATTTAGTGGGAAGAGAAGGGCACGATATTGAATTGAAAGATTGGTTTCACTGACGAACACAGAAAATGCTAATTGACCATAACAGAAATATTTTTGATAGGTTTTGAAGAAATCAATACATACGAGAACGAGTTGGTTGTGTTGTTACAACATCAGAACCACTGGGGGGCCCTGTTTAGTGAAGGAAGCCAACATTGAATTAAAAAGTTTATTGCGTTGATGACGCAGAATTCTAATTAAAAGGAATACATTGGTTGTTTGTTTCAGATTAAGATTAATCAAGGAGAATATTAATTAAAAATGGAAATTAAATTGATACATACGAGTGCGCCTCTGTCTTGTTGTTGTTTTGATGTCAGAACCTGCAGGAGGACCTATTTTGGCGAAAGAGAAAAATTTCAATGAATGCTGAATAATTAGAATGATATTTTCAATGGACTTTTGGATTTGTCACTACATACGTGAACGGGTTGGTTGTGCTGTTGTTACGACATCAGAGCCGGCAAGAGGACATGTTTAGGAACGAAAATGACGATACATGTACTGTGAAATAGGAAAATGTTTACAATGAAGCTGGTGAAAATAAAATGTTCTTGAGAAGAATAGCAGTTTCAATTCATATTTCGACATTGCATCCAAACATACTAATATGCTTGGTCTAGTTACGGTGCTGATACGAGAGGCTCCAGGAAGACGGGTTTTAGTGAAGAAAAAGTAATAATATTGAACTGAATATTTTTATTTAATTACAAGATGAGGACGAAGGATCCCGATAAACTGTGATTAGATTTTCAGTGATTTTTGGACGTATTACTTCATAGCAGAACGCACTGGTTGTTTTGTTTTAAAGGCAGTGTACAGAATTTGCAAGGTTTCAAAAGCGCGACTGTCGAATTATCTTGAAATATTTTACGGTAAAGTAAGTACATAATAGTGTCAGACAATCTGTAAAATCTTACAGCAAGAAATGCAGCCATTTTAAATAAAAAAAGAAATTTCATGTTATTTAATCTTTGGAGAATACAATTTGTTCAAATACCGCAACCGTTAACAGGCGCAGTGAAAATGACTGTCAACGCGCCTTTGGTGAGCCTAAACTCGTGGAATGACCCACAAGGTAAATCACAAACCGCAAGTCGGCCATTTTTGACAAATTTTAGTAAATGCAACTCCTATGCACTATCTTTGAGGGTGTCAGAACTTCTGGGAGGGCCTGTTTTGGAATGGGAAATGTAATGCCTGCACGTGTAACGCCAGCTTTGAATTTCTACTATCAAGATGCTGACAATTACAAGTATTTAGGTTTAGAATCTGAAGGAAATTCCAAAGAAGTAATGATCTTAATTAATTGCTTGATGCTTAATGATTTGAATTCAATAATTGACCTGCATGGTAAACAATTTCAACTTCCACTTGACAAAATAAAAATCAGTTATGTTACGTAATTGGAAACATCCTTGCAATGGATCTTGAGCTTCACATGAATTCAATGTAAGTGGGACGGACGGATGGCTTTTAATACCTCGAAACCAAATATATGTCTTTTTAATACTACTTTTGGTGGAAATAATTGTTTCGTTGGTTTGCGTTTTTTGTTTTTTTTGGGGGGGGGGCACGCTGTATGAGCTACATAGAAACGTTCTCCCGAAAAGAAGGCTACTTCTCTTTCGTTCAATTATGAGTGAAGCCCAATCGATTCGATTCTTAAAAATGAGCACCTCTCGACTTACGAGATTGAAGAGCAAAAGTTGTCTGCTGCGTTGTTGTTAGACAGTCAGCAGCTGGATAGCACGTTATTCTGTTGAACTGGCATTTGCACTCTTCACATTCTTCATTTCCCCAAGTTTCCAGTGGCTGAAAAAAAATCGCAAATACAATTTCCAAGGGAAAAGATGGTTCCTGTTTTAACAGACATTAACACTTCAAGTATTAAACACATTTTATTGACCGTGACAACTACACTGGAGGAACTGCTGATGAGAGAGTCTAAGCCCTGATTTATGATGGCGCTCTTTAATTCTCTTGGTAGCTCTCTTCATCTCAAGCACCAAGAACTCTACGAACCATAAACAGCTACACCACCACTGAATGGCATGGCCCTTACTGATATCACATCTTTTCCTTTTTCGGAATTTTTTATTCGTATTTCTGCCCGTACAATTCGATTAAAACAAAAATCCAGGACTTGAGGACTGGTAAATAGAGTTTGATTATTGCTGAATATTACATGATGATTGTTTGTATATGAAGTCTGATTTAAGGCAATTATAAATAGGTCAGACTTCCAGTGTCCATAGGTCACTGTTTAGACGACCTTTGACTTTATTTTTAAAGGGTTATTAGAGCTAGTTATAACTCACACTATAGACATGCGAATGCGCACAATTATTGGAAGTTTTGTACCCCGCTTAGATTACATATTTGTAATCAGTAAAGTTTTACGTGATCGTGGCGTATTCTTTGATGTAATCTGTGATCTACGATCCATAAACCCTTTGAACATGTACTTCTGTGAGCGAGAATAGATCAAGGAACCTGCGACAGTTGAAAAAACTTTAGACGAGTAAAACACCTTTAACAAAATGGATCATGTATTTAGGAACCCATTTGACTTCCATTTGTGCGCCTCGTGGAGAGCGACATCTTTTCCCGGAAAAATATAGCACATTTTCAATCCAATGCAAAATTGTTACCAACGTTTGTTGTTACAACTACAATCTGTGTAATTCATTGATTTAAAAAGAGTAATGGGCAACGGGTTGTTTCAGTGTGTAGTCGGCATACCGATTAAGTAATAAATATTCATTTTGAACAATGAGCCAACTAGTCTTCATTCAAAACAATTTCCCCAGTCCATTCCACTTGGTATTTTCTGCATAAAGTCTTGGATGTTTTTCAGAACAATACCCCCATCCACCTTTGAAAACAAATGAGAGTTTTTTTGTAAGGAGGAAACAGAAAAATGAAAAAAAAGATGAATGAAACCAACTTGAAACAACTTCCTTACCAAGCGAATATTGCCCTTGTCGTCTAAGCAGCGACACTCTTTTGGTTTGATGCAAGTTGTGCCATTGTACACTGTGCCTTGTTTGCATTCACAACACAGGTCCTGTGGCATTTCATAGCATGTTACGTCTTTGCAGGCTCGTTCTCGACAGTCTTTGCAAATTGCTTGATCTTCTGGCTTGGCGCATGCTAAGATATGACAAAACAAGATTTGTCAGGTCCACATTACATAGGTCTACTCTTACGTTTTCCATTAGTAAAAACCATTCAGTACCCAACGGCACAGAAACGAAGTTATCAGTAAAACTAAAGTGAAAAGCACAGCACGTTTTTGCATCTGCTCTGTTAACATCACTTCAAAATTATTGCAAAATGTGGTTGTAATTTCAATTTCAGAATGAGTTATCGGCTTTGGGTTTTACATGCTGAACTGTAAAGGCGATTTCTTTGGCGTTGTGAAGGGACTTGTGACTGGACTTCCGAAGGGACTTGTGCAGGATTTGGGATGGACTCGACCCCAACACTGCTTAGCGAACAATAAGAGGGATAATAGAAACACCAAAGGGGCAATAATCACTGCCTTTTAAAATTATTCTTTCATTTATTTAGATCAAGTTTTCTAATTACGATAAATATATTCCTGCAAAGATACTTACTTGGTGAAGGTGTAGGTGGTGTTGGCGGCAAAGCTGTAACACAGAATTCAGTGGATAATAGAAATCTAAGTCTTGTAAAAGGTAGTAGGATAAATCATATTTCTATACGGGTACCCTAGCCGTAGCGCTGCAGTGGCGTAGCTAGGATTTTACTGGTGGGGGGCACAAAGGGGTACCAGCACTTTATGAGGGACACAAGCTTTCAAAGGTGTGTTTTGTGGAACAAATTTTTGTTAGCCTTGTTCAATATACATTCCTCCGTTTTTTCTCAGTGGGGGATGGGGGCATCGGGAATGTTTGGGGGCAGGTGCCCCCAGCCCCTCTCCCCCCCCCAGCTACGCCACTGTAGCGCTGGTGGAAACATTTATCAAACAATGACCACCAGCAGCTGAACAGTGCCACTTTTGATTAATTTTGGGTGTTTTATTGTTTTATAATACAGTGGTGATTTTATTTATCACTAAGAAGGATGAACAATACATGTTCGATGTGCCGGATTTTAACGCGGCCGTTGATCGAATTTTAAATGGCCAACGTACGGCAATTTTCCTCGTCGTATCCATTGTCGCAGTCTGTGGAACCATCGCAATGCCACTTGTTTGGGATGCAGCTGGTCGAATTACAGTTGAAATCACCGACGCAGATATCCGCAACACAGTGGAAGCAGCAGTCGCCGTCGTCTTTAACCAAGACATGCCCCTTGATAATCACAATATCAATACACGTACACAGTGAGCCGTGAAAGTATTTGGCATTTCAGCAAGGATCACTTGAGCAACTGGACAAATACTATCAACTTTTAAGTTGGGTTTTCATCAGACAGACAAACGTATAATTTACCTCTTTACACTCTAGTTCCTCACCACACTGGGTCTGATTGCAAGTCAAGGCGTACTCATTTTTCTTGTACCGACATTCACAGGTTGTGCATGGGTCATCACGCCACGATGTGTCGGGCTGCAGAGGCAGACAAAATGATGTAAAGGAGATTTACTTGGAAATGCCGTGATCAGTTCTAAAACAAAATCTGACCCAAAGTTTCTGGTATGCCCAGATATATGTTTGTATTTCTTAATCTGTGAAGCGGATTGTGGGCACTATAAAACAATGATGTGCAGCTGCCAAATTTTCAAATATACCTCGTGACAGGTTTCCGAGTTTTCGTCGAAACAACCAATGCACTCGCTCGGGGAACCAGATGGGGTTGTTGAAAATATTGCTGTTGTCGAAAATGGAGCTGCTGTTGTTACTGTTGTAAAATACAAAAACTAGTAAATTTTTTCAAGTCGACAATTTGAATTATGACATTGAAAATGAGTATGTTTTGTATTAATTAATTTAACTGGTTGCCATGCCCTCTAGCTATAATAACCCTGTCATTTACAACAATTTTCGAACATAACAATGATGCAAATACAGTTGTTTACAAATGCCCATTTGGCCTGTGAAATTTTGTATATATGTATTCTTAAAGTTATAAAAACGTACTTTGCTCACAGTAGCAACACACACTTCCATCTGGCTCAATCAGAACTTGGCCCTTCAAAAAGATTACACTTGTTAGTCGTACATTAATTATTAAGTGTCTTCACAGATAGAGTGTGAGATATTAACTCTTTGTAAATATAAGCATAGTTTGACTGTCCTTTAGAGCAAATCTTTATTTCGCAGTAATAAAGAACATCTGTGTATCAGACATACTTAGCGCGACTTGAAAACAGTAATTTCAAAATTGAAATTTTAAATATATAATTATGTCTTACCTCATTGCAGTCAAGTGTGCAAAGCTTTGTGCAGTTAATGGTCATGTCTTCTCTGCAAATACATTTTTCGCAGTCGCTTTGGTACCACATTTCGTTGAACTATAAAAAAGGCACAATTATTTTGACGTTGATTTGCAAAGGCTTCTTGTTATTATGCGAGCGAACAACTTAAAAGTGTCTTGGTACAAAACAAATCAATGCAAACTTACATGCATGACTTTAACACTCGTTGCTCGAATAAATATTTGAGGGATTTTCAAATGACTTTTACTTGTGCTGTGTGCTGATACTATGAACAGTGTCCCATAGGTCACAGGGAAATTGAAAGTCGTGCATATGGAAAATAAATCACGACTAGAGATTCAATACTGTTAATTCGAACAAAACCGATATATCATTCACGTCCTCTACAAGGGTTTCCGTACTACTTATTTAAAACATTTAATCAACCAAAATCGTGAGAATTTATGACGAGAATCAAATTACTCTGAGATCTCTTATTAACGTGGTGCATAATTTTTTTTTTACTATAGGCCTACCTCTCTTTTGGCTCCTGAAACATCCGTACAAGGGCACTGATGCGCAGGAATGCAGTCTTTTTGATTCATCAGCATACCCTCGGGACAGAAGCAACCCTCTTTACACGTAACATCCGTGCAGTCCTCACCCAACGTTGAGCACATAACATGACACTCACAGCTCTTGCGATACACGTAAGGAGCAGTGCAAGCTTAATAAAATGAAACACAGAATTAATATCGAGTTTTTTCCTCACTCGATGAATCTCCTTGGATCACAACAAACTAATCAAAATACTGTTCTTCATCTCCTAAAGGAATACTGCATATTAAATCTGTAAGCAGAAAAATTGACATCTCGAATTTAAGTTGGACGGCAGACAAAAAGTTAGCAAAAATCCATATGGACCAACCTGAACGAATGGTTGTTGGAACAACTGTTGTTTGCACTGGTCTGCATTCACAACACATATCGTCGGTAGACATCACGATTTCGCCCTATCCAGCAAACCGAGGAAAGAAACAAAAACAAAAGATTTATAGCATTCATTTCTCAACTGAATGAACGACTGAAAAGTTAAATAAACCAGTCCAAATGAGGGCAATAAAAAAAATCAGAAGTTTGATTTTGAACGACTACCATTTAATCGATGTTAAATCATTGTTTGTATGGTTTGTGTGGTCACATAATTGTAATCAGCAGAGCACGATGGTGTAACTGTCACTTAACTACCACAAATGAGACCAACCAAATTTGAACAAAGTGAAACGGCACAGGGAAGTCGACACACAGCCCATATATCTACAGTGTGTCAAAACCTGCCTTAAATAAATGTCTCATATTGTTTTTACATGTAAACATGTTTTCGTTCATCAGCCTACAGGATCCGACTTCATTTTGCAATCTTAGCGAGAAACGATCTGTAATTAATCAACTGCCACCACTAAGCCATTCTGGTTAGTAACACAGACTTAATGAGTCTCCAACAGGCGTGTTGCAGACATTTGTAAACGTCAACTCACTGAGCTATACTAGGATGATTCCTACTGATCACAATGACGCAGCTAAACAAAATATCTTATTCGTTATTGAGGATTGCTCGAGATACAGTAGGGTGATCAGCACTTACGTATTGGTTTAATAATTTGCAAGTGATAAATGTAAGATGTACTCACTTCTGCACAATCGTCTTGTGTGAGATGACATTCACTCCGCGAGCAAACGATTTCATCGAGACACGTGCATTCTTCGCATGCACCCTGTGCAAACAATTCTCCACGCTTCAAAAGCGCCGGAAACAGAATTAGAAACGATAGAAGTTGACTCTCAAGGAAGTTTAAAGCTGTGGTTAATTACAGAGGTCCTTTTTTAAATTCCGTGAATGGCCATTATTGTGACTGTGAAGTTGAAAAATGAAGTGTTCCACTTACATTGTACCACTTCCCAGAGAACTCATGATAACAAGGAGGCTCTGTTGGGGAAAACGATGATATTCAAATTGATTGCACCTTAATCAACGACGGCAGTTCAACCATTGGAAAGGTAATATTACCGAGCAAAGGATGAAGTGATGTGGTAGCATTAGCCTTTCGTTTTAAAGCCATGTTTGATTACGAGTGAAGATTACGATTACGAGTGAAATTTTCAACAAATTTTGAACATCCAAATTATTGATTTTTTTAGGGCACTCCAACTGAAACACCAAAGGGGCATTTGCGGTTCCGACAAGAAGCCTTTAACTGTTTGCATGATGAGTTTGCAAATCATTCACAAATAACCACAAACATACCCTGTGGCTGCGTGGTTGTAGTTATTTCCCTGTTACCTAAGTTGAAGAGAAACGGTATATTTAGAGACTTTGTATAGGGGAAAGGGCAGGATAGGAGAGAATACGACTGAAATCGGGCAAGAGGAGACAAGACAATACAACACAACACAAGATAACACACGAGAAGTCATTAACCCATAACGGGGATTCTCTTGGCCCTTTGGCACACAAATATTAAACACACCTGTAATGGCAAAATATATGTACCAGTAGTAAATAATACAACCAATATATAAAGAGAGACAAAAATGAAAAATTGCTCAAGCTGTAGACGATTGAGATGTAACTCTAAACTTAATAAAACGACACAAATAAGGGAAAGAGTCACAACACAGGAAATCATTGCTCCAACTGATCATTGCACCGCCTGTTACTACTGCTGATGGAACAAATAAGCTGCCGTATAGCGTAGGTTTTATATTTCGTTGTAAAAGACAGTTATGAGTTTTGTACAAATTTTGAGTAAATAGACTGGTCAGTTTCTTTCAGAAATCTCGTTAGCTGGTATATATCTCAATCGTACAGAAATTTCCGATCCAGCGTCCATAATGTAGGCCCACTCGCCCTAGATTATAATGTCCAAGGTCATAATACAGGTTAAGTAGGCAACAAACAGTGGCGTGATTTAGATTAGTTATGTGAATTACGTAAAAGAGTTTAATCATTTTTAATTTTCTTCTGACAATTACCTTTACATGTTGGGCAGCAATCGCCAGGAAAATAAATATAGTCATCCTGTAAAAAAACATATTTGCTAGGAAATAAAATGGTTTCTATTTTTTTCCGAAACAAAAGCTGGGTCTTTGAAATGTCATTGTCAATTCATTCAAAGATACTGTACAATCTACTGAAAACCGAACTACAATACGCCAGCTAAACGTAGGCCTATTGTTAGCACTGAAGTTAGGCACGATACGAATACTGAACTAATTATGGTGTCGCAAAGAAATCGTTTCATTGCAAATGAAAGGTTGTTGGTCACGCAGTGCAATCACGCTAAGCAAGGACAGATTCAGGGGTCAACAGGGCCATGCCCACCGCAATAGGGACCCCCAAATTTTAATAACTAAAAAGGGGGAGAAAGTGATTATTCGGGCTTTATTCTCCTTTTCCCACAGTGTGTAAAAAGCATCTAAATATACCTTTAACCACCTGGATAGGCCATAAAGGTTTCGTGAAAATATTTCCCAAACACGTGGTGGCCCAAAAATGTGGTTCTGATTCAATCCTTAATAATAAGCTATGGTGACATTATAAATACATTCCTAGTTACATTGCAATCAATAATGTTCGAGCGATTTCACAGAATGCACTTGTAAACTGATAGTGTAAAAATAGCAGAGACAAACAATTGTAAACCGCTTACCTCAGAGCAGTCGAGGTTGTCATTGCAAACCGTGTCGTGGCATTGGATTTCATTGCGGAAGCAGGTACAGTAGCTGCAGTTTTTCTTTGGGTTTTCCCAAGTTTCTCCAGGCTGAAACGCAAATGGTCAAATATGACTACTGAAGGCTTGAAAATTAGGTACCAGATAGCGATTTTTGTGTTTCTTATATCTGAATCAAAGGATCTCTTTCACCATGTTGATAGTCACGGTAAAAAGCACAGGGTCCAGTTTTATTCTTGTTATACAAACTAGCAACCAAATGCAACACAAAGGCTGCACACAGGCCTAATAATAATAGTGTCATTTTTTTCATTTCTATGAAGTGTTCAGTGTTTAGCAAAATCTGTATCCCTGTAGTGAAGACTTTAATTGATCGAATGTCACTGGTCAATAATCCAATAAATCGGCTTTGTGTCCAGGTTAAAACCCACCTGATGGACACCCTCAACGTCTTGGCATAAGCAATCGTTTGGGAATACACAATGTGTGCCATTAAACACCAGATGCCTTTTGCAGGCGTTGCAGGTTTCGGAGCCAGAAAACGTCGGAGGTATTTCACATGTGTCAAGGTACATGTACTGACAACAAGTAGGCTCGCCAACCACAAACGGATCCAGACATTCTGCATGAAAAAAAATTGCAGTTTGATAAATTTCAAAATATTACCAGTTATTTAGGAAAGCATAAAAACATCCAATTGAAACGAGCCAAACATTGAGGAAATAAAATATGACAATCAACGCAGATATGTATTATATGAAATTTAGATGTAATATAATTGCAAATAACCAAATTTTATCTATGTTAACAACGGTTGCACTATTATTCTGATGCAAAACTTACCAACAGTAGGCGTAGTCATCATGGACGGAAGTGTTGCTGTGTGTAGGAAAAGAGAAACGTATTTCTACTACTTGGTTGAACTGCTTTCAGACACAAAAGGAAGACGCTGACGAAACAATGCACAACTTTATAAAACACTGTGATATACTGTCTGAAATACAGTAATATGTAAAATTCAATGGTCTCAAAACTAGGCCAAGAACAATAGAAGTATGAAAACAATTCAGTTAAATAGACGTCTGTCTTTCAATTGCATTCAAAGACTTCAGGTGTGCTAACACACCTTCCAAAGAAATAATTAAAAGTCTCCTTTTCCATAAAATACACTATGACAAACAAGGCCATCCCTGAATTGGGCTTTATTCTTAAATCTGTATGTAATAAACTATTTGTTAAGTTATGTTTGGCCATTCCCAAAGGCTTCTAGAAAACGTTGGCGATTCATCGTCTCTTTGCCTCATCGGAATTCGAACATTTGCAGCTTTTCAAAGTTAATTCACTGCTAGACTAAATTTATAATGTAAAAAACCTGTACGGTCTAAGCATTACCACATTAAATGCATTTGGTCTTTATTTTATTTCTTTTCCATTTCAATTAAATGATCACACTTATTACACAATCAACAGGAGTGCAATAAAAAAGGGCCTTTTAGTTCAGCGCGCTAAATAACTCAAACTGGCTCCTGCCTTAAGTCCTTGAGGCGTACCGTATATTCATAGTATCTCCGAACCGAAGCATCTGATTATACGCCACTCACAACAAAACAAGACATAAAAATCAAGTTTTCTTTATGTATGCCAGAGTCTTGTATTTTGGGGGGGGGGGCTGGATGCCGATCCTGGCAATTCAAAAAACTCACTAGAACAATGGCACACAGAAAATTAATTCATGGCATGTACACCTTACCACAACCATGAAGGGGGTAGACCGAACCCAAAACTGCTGTTAGACCAGACTAAGTTCAGCAGCTTACGATTAAAAATATTATACAATGTATCCCTGATTAGATACACGTGTGCTTAGCGTTACACATGTGTACGTCAGTGCAGGTGTGTTCCCGCAGCCTTTTGAAACTTTCAAGCACTATGACCCCTGCACATTACATCAAATTTTTGCCAATGGTAAATTTACTGTAACTGCAATTTGTATTTAAACCAATTAGACTTGTTCATTACAACAGTGTCGCTTAACGACTTTCTGTCTGCCTAAGCTTCCCCATTCACGAGAGCTCGATGGAGGAGAAGGGGGACGGTGGTGGGCTAAATTTCGGCTGAATTTATTGCTCATTTTCTTTACCACCCCCGCCTCCTCAAAATGACTGTAACAGAATAAATGGATCTGCAAAAATAGCGTCCTGAAGCGCGACTGGACCTTTTGATTGGACACCACCTTCCCTGACATCAATATGCAGACAAGCTGACACATACACGGTATTTATGATTTATTAATAAATGCTTTTTAAGTGGTCGCCTGCCATAATTAACTTAATCTGTATAAGATCACGCACCACATTGTAATGTACATCGTACGTGGCGTTCCAGGGCCCCCAAATCAATCTTGCGAACAGTAAAGGTCATAGATCAATGTCTGTTTACGTGCTTTGTGTCGGCCATTATTTGGACGGCCTGAACAGGATGTAAAGTAAATGTATAAGGAATTTTAGCAGCGAAATGATAAAAGGTTCTACAGCGGGTGTTCGAGTTATCGGTAACGAAATAACCTGAAGACAAATATACTTACTTGTGATGGAGACACATTCACAGCACTTGTCTTCAAAGGATACCAATTGCTCACCCTTAAAGTAAGTGAGGAAAAGGCAAAAAGAATGGAAACTTAGCTGTGCAGGAATATGTCTCGACGTTTTCCGAAACTTTGACTTCTACATGGTTACCTGACAAGACATTCTGTCCAGAAGGTTACTTCTTTAAAGAGAGAACTTGTATGAAAAAAGACTGACAACATTGGTCTACAGGCAACATACTTCTAAAGCAAAAAAGCAAACTTGAGCAGGTCTGGGTGACCGAATATTGGTCTGTTTAAAATGTTGATGTCCGGTAGTTTTAAAGATACGTCATTGCGTCACTTTATACAAGAACAAGAACTGCGTACAAGAATCTGTCATCCACACTGTACACATTGTACAAAAAAATCATAAAACGAATATGTTGGAAGAGTATATAGTAAATCGCCCATTTTAAATTGTCACATTTGACTTTAGCACATTAAAAATCAATGAAAAACTCTTCCAAACCGATGACAAGTGTAATCCCTTTTTACAAACAACTCATAACACAGGAAAGAGACATTTTTTTCTCAAAGGTGAAAAAAAGGAAAAATTTCGTGATGTTGCAAAGTGAACATGGTGCATTTGTTAATTTTTTGTTTCAGTCTCAAGGTAACTCTCACAGAAATGCCTACCTCTGCGCAGCTGTTGGGTCGTTTGTGGCAATCGTAATAGCAAGAATATGTTCCGTCAATGCAATCACAAGTTCGGCATTCATCGGGCTGTACCGTTGTCCCCTCCTGAATCGCATTCAACCGGTTAAAATGAAGAAATTAGGCAAGTATACTAAAACTAAAAAGTAGTGTGTGAGCCAAAAATTGAATCATATAAGAAGGCAGGGATTTCCCTTGTGCTTTCAAAACATGTCGTAGTTTTATTGTTTATAAAATCTGTAAAACTCACCTCACACTCTGAAGTTGCGGTAGTTGTCACTGGGGTGTGCAATGAAAGAGGTAATTGAATGTGAATCAGTTTAATTCACCGAATGCCAGTTCACTTGAGATAAATAAACTTGTACTTTTCAAATTATCATTTTGGATCACTAAAATATGTTACGCATTGTGGTAAACATGTAACACACGTAAGTTGATAAGTTATTTACAAGAAATTAATCCAAAAGACAATTTTAATGTGGTATAGTGTACTTCTGCTCTGGGAATTGGGGTCATGGGTTCCAATAGAGTAGATTGCCTCAAGAAATACAACTACCATTATAACGGCAACTACAGTTACTTAGGCTCACCTGGTGAAGCGGTTGTAGGAATACTGATTTTTTTACCTAAGACAAAACAATTGACAAGAATGTTTTAAATCGGATTAGAGACTCGCCAGTATACATATCTTCTCAGTGCTTGCAAGTACAATTTGCTTTCCTTATAGTACCCACCGAACCAGCTTAAATAAATTAACTTACCACGGGTCGAGTGCATCTCGGGAACCTACTGTTTTTCCCATTAATTTCCATTACTTTGAGAAACGAAGAGGATACTCATTGAGCACGCAGGTCGAGGAACCATACACTACAATCAGATGACAGGCTACATGGGAAACTCTGTACCACATACAAAACAGTTATCAACTATTTTATATTAGGTAATACAACGAAAATGACTCACATTGGCAGCACTGTGTGTCATCATGTTCGTTGAGAAGTAACACTTCTGTGAGCTAAAAGGGACAAAAAAACGACATTGAGGTATTATCATAAAGCCCAGAAAGTGGGACACTTAGTATTTTGCACCACCATAAGGATGCCACTTCACGTACAGGCTGTAACAACAAAACGCCCTTCTCTTACCTCTGAATTTGCACACAATGGTGGATCAGATTGTACCTTTTGATTCAACAGTTAAGATATCGAGTTCTCCGTGACGTTTTGTGGTAGGTTCGGTATTCTATTTAAATTGGCAGCGAAACTTTCAAATAAGATGAGCGAACTCTTACAGCGTCGCACAGGATATTGCACTCCTTGAAACAACGGGTGCGTCCAGCCTCACATCTGCAAACTTCACATCTCCCCTCTCCACTCCACGTGTCTCCGGACTGTACGGTAAACAATAAGAAGTTTATACCGGGGTGAGACAGTGAATATTTCAGTTGTTGTTCTGAACGTAGTTAGGCAAATGTCTTACTAATGTTGAGAAGTTTAATTGTAAAACAACTATGCACTTGCAACCACAGTTTGCTCCAGATTTTCTGAATCAAGATTACAGGTGACAGTGTGATGGAATTTCAACGCAATATGCAACATGTTATTCCCGTGGTAATGTAAACTTTACGTTCATATTTCAAGAGCCTTAAATGGGTTTTTGTAAAAACGAGTACATGTACAGATGTGTTTTGTATACATTTTGGTAATTGTTGAAGTGTGTTTAATCGGCGATAACAAAGAAGGGATCCATCTCGAATAATATTCCGTTATTGGGCTCACCGAGCGTATGATGCCTTTGTATTCGCAGTCACACTGTAGCTCGTCTGACGAATCTTTGCAATTGAGTTCGCCGTCGCAGAACTTGGTGTCTTGGATACAGAAGGTCTGATCTGCACAACATGAAAAGCCCGGTGGGCAGGTACAGGTCGGGGGAGGCTTGTGTGCACACGGCTTCTTCGTGGCAATAACAGCTATCACAAAAACGGAAAAGTAACACCAACTTTCAAAAATAATAAACAGTGTGCTGTTACATTTATAGTTTATCGTAACGCGCCTGTCGAGATTTTTGGGATAAGTGCTGCATCAGATGCAGAGACAAAGAAAGAGTAGGCAAATCCTAGAGGAAACACAGCCTGCAAAATCTAACATCATCGAAATTTAGACGTAAAGAAACTTCTGGAAAGTCGGTGTATGACTTTTTTCTTATACTTTCACATTTGGATACGTGTGGGAGCTCATCGAAAAGATGATGCATAAAACAGACCTCTTTTTGAATTGACTGGTTTTTAGAAGCAAGTTATAACGGTGCCTACTGTGAAGATTCCAAATTTACCTTACTTTCCACGTAACAATAATAATAATATTTTTGGTTCATTTTTCGTTGTGACTTCACATCCGCATCAGCTGTATCCACGTACAGTGCATAAACATTATTTGTGTTGAAGATCATGTTAAAATGGGAATAAATGTTTAAGACTTTGCTTATAACATAGTATGCAATTTACATGCTGAGCATTTACCCCTCTGTGTGCAGTTTGTTCCAGAGCATTCCAAATGTCCTCCATTACACATACTGTGGTAAAAAGAGAAAATATTAGGAATACCGAACGATGACGTGTCTTTACTGCAGTGGCGTGTTGGAAACTGGGGGATAGGGGATGGGAAAAGGTTGGGGGATGACTTGCCCGGCCACGGAAATTTGAAAAGTGGGGGACGGGACACCATACACACTAGGGGCGATGTTCCTGATAAAACATGCACATCTGTAATATGTATCAAATTCATGCAGAATCTTACATCAGAATAGTATATTTATGGCTTTTTAAAATTGCTTTTCCCGTTTAGTGATATCGCGAACATTTTAGTCGTAGGGAATCCTGAAAATTCTTCACAAGCCGCTTTTATTTTTTTGTTCATCACGAAACGGTGAGGGGATGATTCAATAGCCATTCCCCTACTTCAAAAAATGTGGGGGTGGGATATACCCCCATCCCCTCCGGAATTAGCGCCCTGCTTTACTGACCATATAGAATGACTAACTTTGATCAAAGGTATTGGCAATCAAGCTAAGCTTTTTAAACCAATTTCAGGAACTACATACGGTAGCCTCCTTTTTAAAGTTACTTTTCACGTATTTCTTACCACTGCATGCAGTCACGAACAACAAGGGCGCCGTGCTTGATCTGCACTCGGCCGTTGTCAATGAAACAAGGGCAAAGCTGTCTCTCAATACACTTGTCGCGGAAAAGCACCTGACCCTCCGGACAGTGACAACCCTCCACGCAGTGTGTTTCGCAGCCGTAATCTTCGCTTGCATGCGATGGATAGCACTTGTCTGGACAGATTTTACCACAAGCCTGGTATTTCCTTCCGTTCTCACACTGCAAAGCTGTAAAATTTGATGTTAAAGACATGGGTGAGGTGTGCATAAAAACGGTTGCTGTGATACTATGAGCTTAGCTTGGAAATCAGCAAGTGATTGACAAGACCTATATAAAAGCACAAAATTTCGTGAGCCTCAAATTTCTCCATTTTCTTACAACAGTTTTTTTCTGAAATTTCCGAGCACTGTGCAAGACATATCCCAGATAATAATAATTACAATATACATTACACTATGCAACAAATGGTGTTCACTTAGGAATCTTAGGACTTCAGGGGAACTTTCAAAAGCACGTTTCTATAAGGTTGGCATAGAACACCTACCGCAATAACCATCGGACCGCCAAGCCATAGCAACGTTGTTCTCGTTGCAAGCCATAGCGTATGCAGCAATGGCAGTGCACATGCATTCGCAGTCAGCACCCCTGTCACAGGCGCACGTATCAAAGACGCATGCGAGGAAGTAAGGCTCGGGATCGACCTGGAAGTTAAAAAATACACAGGTCAAAAACCAACGTCGTCAAGCTTCCCCCAAATAGGCTACTCAATAGCTACAGGAGTGTAGAGCTGCAACGGAATTTATAGTCATGCAAATACACTTTTGCTTCTACAACAAAGGACTATAGTAGTCAATACTTTTAATAGACATTTAGAAGTAGAAGGGTCAGTTCATGGCCCATAGGTCAGGTTGGTTGAGGAGAAGAGGATCTTCCCTCCATTTAGACCTGTGAGGTTCGAATCACTTCCCTTTGAATATCATTCAGAAGTTTACCTTTCATATCCTAAAAAACTGCATATTTAGTTCGCTCTTTCACTCTAGAAACGATATTTCCTCCACTTTTTTACCCTGTGCTAGTCAATTATTTCATTCACAACATAATGGCACGTTCGAACATACATAATGGCACTTTGGAAATTAAATATCAATAGTTTCTCCATATTAATTGCTTAATCGTCAGTTCAAAGAGGTCGAAAACATCGCACAGAATACTTACTAGATTGTGACAGGACGAAAACAACGACTTCTTTATTATACCGCATACTTTTTCTGCCCAAGGTCGGCGGTGGGGCATGGAGTCACATGGGTAAAGCACTTCCCTTGGTTCAGCACAGTTTGCAACGGTTCTCCAACTATGACCAAAGGAGTGCCCCATTGCCTCAATCTCACGATTCCGGGTCTTAAAATCGTCATTGGCGTCCCCGTTGAAATCACCGCAGAGACCGCAGACCTGTCCAGCCAACAGGGGATCGAGGGTGACGTGGACGCTTGTTCCGTAGTCCCACTTCAAGGTAATACCTGACGGGTATAACGGCGTATCGTGTACAACAAATAGTTATAACAATCTCAGCGCCAATAATCTAAACAAGACACTAGTTCAAGAGCCTTCAGGCTTTCTTGTGATGTGTGCCCCTAGTTCCCCTGCCCGTAAAGTAATTAAATAGAGATATGTTCAGGGTAGAGCTGAAGGGCTGAGGTACAAAAATTTGAACTAAATAAATTAGACTCTCAAATAGATGTTGAAAATTCAAAATGACAACAGAAGTTGGAATTGTTTGTTAAATCAAGACGGTAACAGGTGCATCCAACAGTGGACAATCCTATGACTTACCATCAGGAGTTTTGATGACAAGATACATTCCAGCATCCTCCATTTTAATTCGAGCCTTAGTATCTATCTCTGAGTTCACGGTGACGGTGTAAGGCCTGCCTCGCACAAGGTAAATAGTGGTGTCATACAGCGTAAATTTTATTGCCTTGGTGCAGGTCACACCATTCTCACCGCAGGGGATGTTCTCGATGAGGACACGAAACGAACCTTCAGGTTCTCCGCAGAAATCCTCGACCAAAGTATACTCACAGTCACCTGTTTATTCAAATTAAAAATTAATTAACTTACACCTTCGAGACATTAATATTCGATTATCCTTGGGAACTGAAGACGATGAATGCAATGACGGTATAGGGACACAAAAATCGACGGGAACTGAAAGCTTACCTTGGAATTTATATCTTCTCATGTCGAATGTCACAAAGTGTGAATCGCCATATGAGCTGCATGTCGCTGCAAAATGGACAATGGAGAAAAGTATCGAATTACAAGTCTGTAATTAAACGTTCATCCTCAACAAACTGTAAAATAACGAACGGGTATTTATAGTTTAAATTAGTCAGCAAAGGCAGCAAAGACGGAATACTCACATGGACAAGTGTCATCATCACAGATCCATCTGTGGTCCGTGTTGCACATGCTGGAAGGTAAAATTCCGAAAAACATTTACTCGTCATCGGATTCCTCCATTTAGTCAGTGTGTACGCTCGCCTAGTGCGCTGCACGTTATATCGCTTAAAGCTATAATAGGAAAGTGGGCGAATTTTTGTGCTGTACTAGGTGTTAAGTCTGCAGTTTATGAGTAAGTGAGATTTCGAAAAGAGTCAGGGAATTAGTTGTTAACCGGAAAACTTGCGTGGAGAGATCCACGCAAGCTTATTCTTGATCTCGCACGACCTTACCAATAATGCTACTACGTTTTGGGTACAAATGTGAGTAAAAATTACTAAAACTTTGCAATGTTCATTTTCTTGTTCAAGTATCAAATTCTGGTATAATTTTGCATTATCTCTGGAATTAAAGATCATTGAATCGCATTCTTTAGTAGTGATAATCTGTTACTTTTCTTCCTTCAAACACCAGGCACCTAACCGGGAGCAATGCATGGGCCAACTTTTGAACTGTTTACTTACTTTCGACTGGCCTTTCAACAAGTGCTTTTGGAAAAGCAAACTTTCGGGGAGGGTAACACCGCGCCATTTATTGGAGCGATATCCACAACCTCGATAAAAGATTCACGAAGGCCTACCATTCATGGCAATCCATGGCGACCTTCTCGTACACCTTATAACTCTTGCCGTTGTAATCGCAGGAACATTCCTCCACCTGGATGCACGTTCCCTTATGCAGAACTTTACCCTCGGGACAGCCACATCCAGGGGTACATATGGTCTGCACACACGGTAGGTAAGCATTTTGGCAAGTCCTCTCGCACTCTTGACACAATAGCCATTCCATTCCGTCAGCACAGCTCTCGTATGCTGCGACAACAAGGTAAAAATGTTGGCACAAACAAAAATTACGGAAGTGGAAACAAAAGTTCTACAACATCTACGAGAGCAAGCTGCCAAGACAACTCCTGAAAGTGGACTTCCTGAAGAATATATTAATTTCAATTGATCCTGTGAGCTTCCCTCAACATTGTACTAAAATGAAAGACAAATTCCAAATCAAACTAACACGATGACATTGTTATACTGTCTGTTATGAATAGTAAGGCACAAAAACCAACTGTAGAGATATATTACAAATTACACACCTGTGCAGTCCTTTTCGGTACACCTGTACGTTCCAGCAGAACAGTAACTGCACACAAATAAAACAATTACTGCTATAAAAGAAGGCAATTACAAAATTCTGAGGAGTCATTGTTCATCTAAACTTTTATTCCTCTTTATTTATTCATTTGTTTTCCTGCTATTAATTGGCAGAATGAACCTTTTTATACGACACATACCATTCATTGCAGCCTCTCCTCCAAGACTGTCTCGATCCGTAAACCACACCATCTACCTCACAGGAGCAATCTTCCACAGGTACGCATTGGCCCGACCCGACGTCACGAATCTATATACAAAACGAAGGTTCATCAACAGTGAAATGTAGTGCTGAGAGTGCCCTTTGTTCAAATGATTCAGTTTTTACAATCTTTATTTATTTATTTATTTTTTTGTGAGGACAATTGAAAATATTGAACTAAACTGGAATTTGAATACCTTCTTTTGATCCAGTGATTTCTAACACCTTACGTGTTATCGAAATCGGGGTAATTTTCCTGGGTAAATGTACTTGTGACCATGCATAAATTGTGCGTGATGAATCTCTCCACTGAAACAGGCAACATCTGTAACGTTCCATACTACACTAAAAAAATCTGACTCTCACCCCGATGACACCACTCTTAATGACAGTTTGTTACTTACTCTACCCTCAGGGCACTGACAGCCCTCCACACATTCCTCTTGGCAGAACTGATCCGAGGATATGTCTCCACAACTTGAGACACAGTTGGATCCACAAATTTTGTAGACTTCTCCAGAGGGACATTTGACGGCTATGTGGGATTAAAGACATACACGTTAAGTTTGGCAACATTAATACTGAAGTGTTTGACCCTCTCCTTTCGAAAAAATGGCCAATATCATAATGACCCAGAATTTTGGGGCTTATCACTAGCTACATCCCAATCCCAACCCTTGATATAACCCTTTGTAGTTGGTAATGTTAGACGCCCAAATACTCTGCAGCACTTGACTGTGTTGCGGTCGCTTCGTTTTCTTGGAAAAACACTGTCCAGAGTTTGAATTATGTCCTGGCCACAACAATAAATACAGTCGATTATAACACATTAATGAAGATAAATCTATGGAATTTCTGCATTAATCTTCATAATTTTCTATTAAACTTCCAGCAGCTAAAATGAGAAAGCGCCCCAAGCATATTCAGGGGTTACTTACGGCAGAATTGAGCACTTCGCCAGTGAAACTTGTCCCCAGCCGCCACACATTCACGGGCGTAAGAAGCAAAAGCCAGGCACTGGCACTGGTTGTCACTAGCGTGGCAGCCGCAGACGGCATCTCGGCACTGCTCCTCGTATTTATCTACAGGAACCAGTTTGTTACATTCATTGAATGGTGGCTGTCGAAGCATCTTGCAAATTCTGTTTGCAAGGTGCACTCGCTGCGAGTGCAGATCACAGGGCCGGAGTGCCGCGTCCTCCTCCACGTCGGGACAGTGACGCCCCATCTTCCAAGAGTTGCCGAAGAAGTTGATCTTGGCCTTGGCGTCCACACCAGACAGGGCTGTAAAGTCGTCAATCTGTTTGCTGTTGTATGTTCCGCAGAGACCATGTACCTTTTGCCGGAAACCGAAATATGATTATATATAATGCCCTAACTTTTCCCAACGGGGTCTCTCCGGCAGTGGGCACTGTCCAGAGACGCCGGTGGACCCCACTCCTCTTCCCTTTCCCTCCTTTTCCCTATGTCCACCCCAATCCCCTATAAAGTGTTTTCATTCGTTAATCTTAGTTTTGTATTACTACAGTCCCGTGTATTCTCAAGTTTCCATCTTTAACTATGTTTTCCTTTAATGTACACCGGTGTCTGTTTCTCTTGTTTCAATTAATCTTTTAAATTTGTGTACATATATACTTTTCATTGAAATAAAGTTTCCTTTTGAAAAGTAAAAAGTATATTTTAAGGAATTTTTCAGTACTAACATTTTTGATGACAAAATCACATTAGACCGTTCTGTAATCCTGAACTAAACACCCAAACAACTGAAAGCAGATTAATGTACACTGTTTACACTTAATAATTTACACGAACAATGTGCTGTATGTGTTATTCTTTAAAAGGTTTACATAAAAAGGGTCTTATTTCGGTTCTATACAGATTCTGGTCCGAAAACAACAGTTATGTAATATTTCTCTAAGTAACCAGAGGAAAGGTATAACTCAAAGAGCATTAACAGCGTGGATGCAAGATAGAAGTCTGGCGGATACATGTAATTTTCTGAAATGAATGATACTACAATGGCGCAACTACGCAACAGCAAGGAGCCAATGTTTCAAGTTCCACAGCGAATACAACAATACCTTTGTTTGCCATTTAGGATTCAGTGTAAGATACAGGCGACCGTCTCTGCCCAGCAGTACGTCGATACCATGTTCGGCAATGGTCAAACGGGTGAAGATTGAAGACACTTGCCGGGCAACGAGAGTGGAACCATCGGCAGATTCTACCCGGAAAGGTAACTTATGTGACGTCGTCCCTGACTGTGTAGAGGCCTTGATAGATGATTGGCTATTCAGTCTGTTCAACGCAAACATAGTGTTTTGAATGAGCATTGTTTCTTGTGGGTGATACAAGTATTAATTTAACATTTTATTTGGCTTGCTTCTGACTGACCAAAGATGAACACTCACAGGGATGCCTAATAAGAAAGCTGTGCAACTGATTTCTTTCGATCGAAATTGATGGAACTTGCATACTCTAAACGAAAAGAACTCTAAACGAAACAAGAATGGTGACTGGCAAACACAAATGCCCCGCCAATCCCGTGCATACACTCACATCTTGAATTTTCTGAACACAAACAACATCCTACTGTATAGCCATTGTGACCTTTACCCTTGACCTTTCAGACTTTAATGCAATGGGCTTACCTAAAGAATGCGCAAGCCAAATTTGAGATTCTCACGCTAAATAGTATCCCAAGTTATCGCACTGACAAGATTTGTATTGTTTTAGCCATTATAACTTTGAACTTTCGTTCTGAAATTCAATAGGCTTCTAATTAGGATTATCAATAGCAATAGCAAACCCAATTTGAAGTTTATTAAGTGTGTCTCAAGTTAACGCGCTGAAGAGAAGTTTTAATGTTTTAGAAATTGTGACTTTGACCTTTCGTTCCAAAATTTAATAGGCTTCTCAGGACCAACAAGAGTAATCCATAAACCAAATTAGAAGCTCACTCGTAAAATATTTCTTAAGTTATCGCGCTGACAGTAATATTCCGGACACCCACACACACCCACCCACGGAAGGAAATGGCGAAAAACACTCTGGAGGCTCCTTTGCTATATGAACTTCCCATTGGGCCTATCTACTTTCTGAAATCCCACTTTAGTGTAAAAGGGCATAGGTTCATTTTTACATGATTTCTCGTAATTTTCACTGTGAATAAAACACATATGCAGCAAGGTATGAGACGGAGAGAACCTCCCCCTGCTTTGTGTTGGTCATTGTCTGGCAGGAATCTGGGGAATTCCTTTCAGACATCTTGGGGGGATGTGTTAAGTAACAATAGTCTGGAATGTGTATAGGGATTGGACATGTTGGGGGGTACCCCTCGGTCTCATTTCTTGCTGGGTATAATAAAACAAAATCGAGTAACGTTGTTGCAGGGAGTACCTCGTACAGTGACCACTCTCGTTCACCCTCTGGTACAGATATTCACATGCTCACATGCTGAGTCTCTGGCGAGACTTGGTTCAGTTCTCCATGGCTACACTTACTCATAGATTGACTGATCAGCAGTGACTATACTGACGATCATCAGACAAGAGCGCAAACTTGCTGAACAATCTTCAAACTCCACCAGGATGCTAAAATTGGGGTCAGTCAACTCTGCGAGTAGATATTCACAGGAACCACTGGCTGGGAATAAGTAGTTGGAACCGTCGAAGGTTTTGAAATGGTGACCTCCGGACACGCTGCATGTGGCGTTGCACTCATTGGTGGTACAGTCCCATCTGCCTCCAAGACAAGTGCTTCAAGACGAAACGGGATTTGTGAGAGTTACAAATGCTGAAGCGCACTGCTAATTATGAAATTTAACGACAATTACATGTAACGAAAGCAGAGGCAGCAGCAAAAACAAAGAAGAAGATTTTAATAATTTCTGACCATGCGTGAAGATGATTGTTGCTTAGTTGGCAAATAAGTTTGGGGAGTTGGTTTCTGGATTCTTTGTCCGATTTTCCTAATATTATCAGCTGTGTTTTATATAGGCAAAGTTCATACTGGTCGAACATACAAAAAAGCTGGAGAGCTTTTGCAACTTCTGTTCAACATTGATTAAAATAATTTTGGCATAATTGATATAATTTCAGTTGGAAGCACTGAGGTCTGTACTAAAAGACCTTAATTTAAGTGTCAATTCATTGACATTATTATCAGACACAGAAAAGACAATGGAGCACTTCATTCATATTGCATATTGATTACTTGTAACAGGAAATATAAAAAAAGAGCAAAACTGCAAATAACCAGATGCTACCCAACAACCAGGAAATAATTCAGATACGCAGGACTAATCTGTTTTCAATGACACCATATTGATGATCTAATTATTTTCGCAATGGGTTACACACCATTTTGAATGTCACACCTAATTTACTTTAATCCCATAGATAACAATACTTGTTTACATCGTTCATTTAACCTCGACCATGAGGTTATGGATTTCCTTTATGTATGTAATCTTGCTTCTTGTGATAAGCAACAGTTCCTGAATGATGCATCAATAAATAATTGAATCAATTATTGCACGAGGTGTCTTTATATCGATCAGCATTTGTCGGGTTGATAAAAGGGAGCGTGATTTCCCACAGAAAAAATCTAGCACAGTTGCCTATCATACAGCAAATACCAGGGACAGTTTTTCTATTCCTGTTGGTTGAAACGCGTCATGTGAACATATATTAACATTCGATAATGCCCACTCCGATGTGATAATGCCCACTGCCTAAAACATGCGCTGGCACCTGGACACGAGAAAGTTTAATCGATTTCGATTGGACAAGAGTCTGTGTTCACATGGCACGCAGAACTTGCCACGCGCGTGTCAAGTCCATATAAGGGGATTCTTCTGATAAACTTGCACAAGAAATATACCATTAAATGCATGGGAGTTTGGGGGAAAATAAGAGCAAAATTCTTGAACAAAATCCTTGGAAATTTATCATATTTTGATTTCTTTTGACTCTCTGACTAAAATTGTATTTATGAATGGGAATAGTACTTGGTTCGCCTCCAGGAGAGTGAACGCTGATTATGCCGACCCCTGCAGCTTGGGCATTAGACGTGGCCATTCTCTCGAGCCAGTCTTATAACGCACGTTTAAGACCGGCCAAGCACATATCTATTCCCTCAAAAAACCCCAAAATTCTGTAGAAGACCGTATTTTTTCAGACTTTTCAAAGGTTTATCATCACTATGAACTTTACCATTTTCAAAGCAGTGTTGTAGTCAAGACCACCACCAGACCAGACACAAGACCACGCACAAGACCAGTCACAAGTGGCAGTGGGAACAATGACAAAGGAATGCCTTTGTTGCAGTACAGTTAATAGCTTGTGACTTAAACTGAGACGGGAGGTCTTATGTGGTTTTGTGAAGATTTTAAGTGTTGTCAACTACAACTGTTTCAAAATACATTTGCCAAATAGTACACGTATTAAATTTGCCTTGCCAAATAGTACACGTATCAAATTCTACTCCAATCTATGATGTACCTAACTAGTAAAGTCATTGATAAAACGTACATTGCCAAACACCAGCTAAATTACTTTTCCCTATCGACTAGTTAATTAGCCAGACGTGTCAGCCCCTCCAAATGCAAATCCCAGTTCGCAACGGAAAGTCATGAAGGCCAGACTGAGGAAAATAATAAAAGCTAAGATCTGTTTTATTTAATCTCCGCCTATTTCTCTTCATTTAAACCATGGGTAATGAAAACATTTGGCTTACCATAGCTTACAGCCAGATGTTATGGCGTTACCAGCAGGGATCATATCCGATCCTCGTGGGCAGGGACATTCCTCTCTCGACACACACTTTGTTCGGTCCCAAAAGGTTCCTTAAAAACACAAACACAAATTAATTTTTTTTTACCAAACCTACGATAAGACTAAAAAGATCTTTACTCTATAGTCACTTCTATCTTGATTACAAATTATTTAAATCACCTTTGAACCTTGTGGTATCAAATGCTGGAAAACGCTACTTACTCTGTTAAATTTGCTTTTTGGTGTGTGACAAATTATTTCAGAGCAGTCCCTATTATCTGTCTCGAGCCAATAATTAATGGTCTAAGAAGTTTTCGGTAACAGGACCAATATCATCTTGCAATACCTCTGTTCTTAAAACCTAAAAAGTGCAGAGTGGCACACTAAGTCTAAAGCATTACTAACAAGCTAATTTCAGCAATTTTTGGATATCTATAAATGCTTTTGTTTTTTATACAGACCGTTTGCATAGAAATGCCAAATCTTACCAGCCGGGCAGTGGCAGCCGTCTACGCAGTATTGTTCACACTCTTCCTGGAAATCCAAATTTTCGCAGGTTCGCGGACAAGGAGATCCACACTCTGTGTACACCATCCCGTTGTCACAATGGACAGCTGTTGAAAAAAAACAAGACACGGTTGAACTTCTAAACTTCGGTTGAAAACTGAAAATTTCCTTGAAGGCCGTTCTTTAAATAAAAGAACCTACCACACCCTCTTTCTGTGCTAGTGTGTAATGATGAAAAAGTCCCAAAAATGGTATGGAAGCAAACCGCAATTGAAAAAAAGGTTCGAAAAATATTTTGGTAAATATAGGGCTGCAGTTCTGCATCGCACGACTTTTAATATGTTTTGTAGGGTTTCTCCATTTCTCTCTCATAGCAATATCATCTAGGGCTTAGTGGTGGGATTTTAAAACTTTTGCAAAAATTAGTGCACAATTTTGATAAAAAATCTAGCCATTTATAATGCTCTAGCCCCAAAGTGTCTTGTTCAGATAATACTCCTTTTTGTATGGTAGTCTCCAGTCTAGAAATACGCTCAAATCTCCTTTACTCACGACACAGGTCTTCCCGCCGCCAGTTGGGTAAAACCCCTTCGGCCGTGCAGTCGCGTGAATACTGCGTCAGGACGTCGCATAGTATGGCTTTCCTACCCTCGGTGAAACAAGGCCCAGGCGCTGCGTCGCCAACCAGGCGAAGACACTGACACATGCTAAACAGACACATCTCATGGTACCTTGCCGGTTTGACACTTCGGAAGCAGGCCCTAAAGCCGTCTAGTACCCCAGCGAGCATCTCAGAGCAGATGATGTAAGCTGCATCTGCCAGTTGTTCGTTTTGCCCTAGGTTGCAAGGATCTAAAGGATCGATGGCTTCGCTAGACATGCCGAATCCTTGGGCTACCTCCGTCGAGACATCGTCGTCGCCCGCGTCTGAGTCGAAGTTTCCACACATGCCATTCATGGAGCCCCTGAACAGGTCGGACACTCGAAGGTCAATGCTGCCGCTAGTGTCAACACGAACTATCACATCTGGTCGTAAAACGATTTCAATAAAAAAGAGAATGTCAAAAGAGTGAAAATTACATTGAAAAGTTTTCAAATTGAAACTCATTTATGTGGTGGGCTACTCAAGTCAAATGGTAAGGTGCTTCAAGGCTGCTCTCGATTTCAATTCGTTTTATTCGAAAAAGAGAGTCAACAAACAGTTTTTCTTCAGAGATTCGAATTGTTAACGGAAGTGTACGATGAGATCTATCCACGTACCTCTTTTGAATTACCTTTAACCCCACTGGTACTAATTGGAAATTGCATGGTCGAGCTTGCTTTGGACATCTGGTCAACTCATGGAAATGGCTGGCAGTGCATATTACCATGCGCACCCCCTCAAAAACTATACGCTCAAGAAACCAGAAGACTTTTGTCATAATAGTCCTTCGTATATACCTTTTCAACGTTTCTCCCTGACTTGAGAAATTGTACTGAATAAGCATGATCATTTTACTTCAGTTCTATATTTAGAATCTATGTGATATGTAAAAACAAATAATAAGAGGAAAACATGGAAAAATCTTCTGCACACTTGTGCTGAGTTTTACCGTTTCCTTGGAACCCTTTGAAGACTGTGTGCACTCCAATTTTAGAGACGGTTCCGAAGTCTGTAATCAGCGGAAGGTCTGTAACATCTTGATTCTCATAGCGAACTCCGTGCTGGGGAAGGAGCTCAACGGTGAAGTCACGGCTACCGACTCTGAAATTCCAAAAGCAAATAAAACAGCTGAGGGGCTAAACAGCTGAAATCGAAACTCAGTTCTTCTAGAAAAGTAAGTAGCCAAAAGGACCATTCACTAATCCTTTTAATAGCCAGTAAAAGGCGAACGAACAATAAGAGCTGCATGCAGACTCTCTACATCCAATGTGTTTTATAACATGTCACAGCAGAATATATACGTGTTCTGTACTCACAGAAAGACTTAAAAAGATTTTGTTCTTGAAACAAGTCATAGTGTATTCTCGTATAAAACTTCTTTCAAAAATCTGGTGTAGGCCCCTACTAGTGATACAATGATGCTCTGAAGAAAATCTGCATTTTAAGAAAAAAAGAAGTAAAATGCGGCCATGGCTTTGCGTTTGCCCTTTGTCTTCTTTTCCAGGCAAAAGTTGTTCGTTTCTTACGAAAAATTGCCCCGCTCATACGAAACTGGACCTATCTGTCTGATTTGTACAAAATATTGTTCTGTTGTACACCTTTTCGCCCGTCTTAAATTCAATTCAGCTTCAGGCACCGCTCAAATAGAGACAGGATGCGCGTATAGAATTCCATATCTGCCGTCGTGCTTCGCCCGCCGTGCGTTGCCCGTCGTGTGTCGTCCGTCACCCGTCGTGCGTTGCCGTCGTGCGTCGTCTGTCGCGCGTCGCCCGTCGTGCGTCGCCCGTGGTTTTTTTTGTCACGATTGCGCAGTGGTATTTTTAACTTTGACCCTTGATCGTTTCACATGTACATGTCCTTGTTCAATCGATCCACCATGCCTGACTCTCATTTTAGCAATAGAACTAGAAGATGTACATGTATTCGATTTTGCAGTTGCGCCAAACTCCAATTGAAAGAAGAAATAATATCCTGACATCGGTTAAGTAACGTGTATATGAAATAATACCATTTTGGTTACATAAATAAATTAACAAAATAGACGTTTGTTACGGTAGATTGTTTTTCTCGATAACTTAGTTACTCTAGACGTAACTTTACTCGTTAACAGCCTGACTTTAGGTCTATAGCCTATGTAATATTTCTGTCGGTCCCTGCACGATATCCCACAGAACGGAATGTAAATAATAGATTATTTACAATGTTTGATTCCTTAAAAGTTTTCATAAGAGACGAACTGATTCAACATTCAACATTAATATGATGAAATCTGCTGTATACTCCAAGTTAGACATGACTTTAGTTGCAGGTTGGCTCACAGAAGTCTTTTAAACAGTAACGTTACTTGTTAGCCCCATAAGTAATGCTGATGTGCTTGACAACCTGTTCTCATTGGTCTATCTACCATGGCATACACAACCACAAAAACCAACACGTCATATTTTCTAAAACTTTAACCAAGTGGTAATTGCCCCCAAACAATACATTTAATAAACAGTTTGTTATCCACAGCACGTCTAGTATTTCTGGATTTCAAGGTGAAATTGAGAGGACAAGATGGAATGTTTGTATCGGTTGGCAGATTTCTTCCTGGAATTTGATGAAAACAAGTCGGCACATTTTTACAGTATGCAACTTAGAATAACACTGTGGATAAATTGGCCGGAACATTTTTGCTTAAATTGGATTTCCCCAAAAAACAGAGGCGATATTTTCTTGTCAAGGGGCAGGGGTGGTCTAGCATTATTGGAATTAATTATGTGACCAGTATATGCTTTGCAGGTTGGATTTGTTCTTGCCTTATTCGGAAAAAGATCTTTAGAAGTGAATGGAATCATCACATTGTCATTTGTTAAACAACGGCTTTTGCCGGTCCTATGCAACCCATTTGATTTTTGATGGGCAANTAGTCTAGCATTATTGGCATTAATTATGTGACTAGTATATGCTTTGCAGGTGGGATTTGTACTTGCCTTATTCGGAAAAGATCTTTAGAAGTGAATGGAATCATCACATTGTCATTTGTGAAACCCTGGCTTTTGCAGGTCCTACGCAACCCATTTGATGGGCGACGGACGACGCACGACGGGCGACGCACGACGGGCGACGGAAATGGCATGTTTGGAACTGGTAAATGGCAGAATTGGGACACAACAAAAAGCAAAATGCGACGGACGACGGCAGATACGGAATTCCATATGCGCGTACAGAAAGAAAATACATATACATGCGTGTCATTTTACTGATTGCGGGCAGTGCTACGTACGGCTACCTTGGCCATGAGACTAAGGAAATCCACAGACGAATAACAATAGTACTAGATAATTTGGAATTCACGGGAGGTGTTGGGACCATTTTCTTTTCCATGCAAAAGAAATATCATGTGTCATAACCTTAGGCCAGACACTAGCCTGGCAGGTAGCTCGCATCATAGGCTACGCGCATCCAGAAGCAACACATAGGATGATCACAACTACAGTGGGCGACAGCGCGGGAGCTGGATCGGCAATTTAGCACAATGTTGTTGGTATTATCATGGAGGAATAAAATGGTATTATCAAGGAACGAGGAACACGACAGCGATGATGTACATGTACATGTAGGCAGGCGGTGCATTACCACTGAACCACGATAAACACACTCCCGAGTCCACCCTCTCGCATTCAACTAGGGCTTTAGCGTTGAAATACATGTATACCACACTTATTGCCCAAAACAAGGAGCGACCCAAGATAAGAGTAGGCCTACAATGGTAAGCAACGCACAACGCCGGTCCCACACGTGCCGTGCATAGTTTGCTTTTGCCCAGGAAGCATTTGCTCCCAGTTCAATGAACCATTTCATTGCTCTATGAATGAACTCTTAAGCAACCGCACGTGTGGCGCTCGATTTTGACCATGAATCTTTCACACGGTCTACAAACGTATGTACATGTACATGCACAGGACCCACGGAACGTATGAGTAAGGTTTCGCATTATGATAATGCAGAGCAATTTCATGCACATCAGCATTTACAGATTCCGTTACATGAGTTGAGCAGAATAAAATGAGACTCGAACTACCACCAAAAAGGCTGCAGCAGTCATAGCAATAGAGGAACAATAAGTGAAACCATATGTCTCGTTGTGCTTATGGTAGGCCTACAGCCAAACAAGGGCGACTTTCTACGTTCTGCCTGCACTTTGATTACTCACCTGTAAGAGATGATTACTTTGTTGTAAATGTGACACGTCTCTTCGTTGCATGGGTAACTTGCATCTACTCGTACGCTGAAGGCTCCGATGCCGCAGTCGTCACAGGAGGCAAGATTGAACAAACCAGCGGTGGGGAAGGTGTAGTAATAGCCGTCAAATGACACGAATGCGCCCCCACAACACAGCTTGCACTTGTGCTCCTTGTTGGCAACAGGTCCTAGAGGAAGAACACCGTGTCGAACGAAATAAAACAGTAATATGGACAAGTATTATAAGTGTGCTTTGTTTCAAATTAGAAGCCACCCTTAGACCTTTGGATACAAGTCGGCGAAACATTAGAATTTCAGACGTTTAATTAATTTTTGTCATCAGTTAGTACTACGTGTCCTTCCACAACACCTCGTGAAAAATTGCAGTACACAAAATAAGAAATAATGTTGCCAGTGTATTTGATTTGATTATCATGAGATCTGACAATCTGCCGCAGTCTCTACCTTTCTCGCACAATTTTCCGCTGAAGCCTGGGTGACAATGGCATTCATCTGGAGCAACGCAGACACCGCTGACACATTCCGGGTTGCAGATAGCTGGACAAGAAAGTATCAAAGTTGTTTTAACAGTACACTATTTTATCGCTAAAATCTACAATACATTTCTTCGGTGGTTTTAAAGATAATGAAAAAAAAGCCTTGAACTCGCTGAATAAACTAAAAGTCGTGGACAAGCCGGCAATCCTATTCCAATGCAACGCTACGGGGCCGGGACTCGAGCCTTGACCTTCATGAGCTGTTAAATTCTGTACGGTTCCCCTCCATACACTCACCTAAGTAGGTGTGCATAGGTAAAGAAAAGCTCGTCTTTAATGTAACATTTAGTACTTCTAGGTTTCAATAAGTGATCTTAATATAGCTTTTCGTTACTTTCGTTGAAACATTTCAAACATTTACAACATGTAAGTCCCATTTCAGTTACGGGCTTGCTTGCAGAAGAAGTTGCGTCAAAATGATCTTGATCATTAATTACCATTTTCACATGACAGACCCTCGTATCCGTCGTCGCATTTGCAGAGGTTTGGAGATATGCAGTCCCCGTACAAGCACCCATGTTCACACACGGCTAAACAAAAGGCAAAAAATGTCATCGAACAAGATCGCATTTAAAATGGGGTAACTACTGTAATCAACATTTTATATAACAGCCTTGTTTTGCCGGTACGCGTTAGGTTAACCGCCCGCAGAGGGCCCTGACCTGTTTCTATTGTGTTTTGAGTGCGTACCGGAATATCGGCATTTATAGGGCCCTTTTGTCAGGCCGCTCGCGGGACGGGTTGGGCTTTAGTTCGAAGGTGGGCAAAAGAATAATGCCGCTGGCTCTGCGCAGTAATAATTGTCAGCTGTTTAGCTACGTTGGCAGTGCAGGAAGGTGACTAGGGTTGTAGCGGAAATTAACAAGATGTAGTTGGAAATCCTGTGCCTGTTCCCATCTTATTGTTTTGCGGGAACTGGAAAACAAGAACCCCGGTAGGCTCACGCTACACTTCTTTAAAATAATATCCTTTATCTGTTGAATTAAATACTTTTCAATGTGCCCTCATTGCTAGAAACATTTTGCATATTTCTAAAAATAAGAATAGAGCTGTTCCAGGCTTGATTACTTCGTATTTTCATATTTGTTAAGTCAATAAAAAAATCAGAATTTAAACCAACTGTTACCTTTGTCGCAAGTTGGTCCAGAAAACCCAGTAGAGCATTCACAATGGTCAGGAGAAGTACATTCTCCAAACATACAAGATGGATCACACACAGCTGATGAATTTTGAAGGAGACAAGAGGATATAAAAATTCTGAAGTAAACTGGCTGGATACAAAAATGACTATTGGTTTTGCCTTCAGTGTTGTTAACGAAAGTAAAGAACCATACTCTCTCCTCATTGGTTTATTCCTTAATGAGAAGTATCAAAGACAGGCTTTTTCTCCCCTCAGTGTCTTGCTCCTATAGCCACCAATATCGCTGTCTACCAAATAATTGCTCCAAATTGTCTAAATCTTCTTTGGTACTGTTCTGCGATTTGAATAACAATTTTTAAATATAACCCATTCATTCACTTTCATTGTTACAGTAACGAACGATTGTACCTCCCTACATCGTATCCCCCTCAAAATAAAGTTCATGTATGACAAAAACAAAGCACCACTGAATTGAATTTTGAATGGTATCGATCTCAAGCTCAATATCCTTGGAAATTGATCAAGAGAAAACGAACCTGTTCTTACTGTCTTCGACAAATTTCAATCTAAATGCATGAATTACGTGCTTCAACCGGTAATAACCCCGTAATGCACCGACAATGCGTCTCTCCGGCTGATGAAGAGGACAGGATGCATCAGCTAGGACGTGCATATACCCCGGTGCCCGGCTTTTTGTTATAAAACCAATCATACAGTCCTCATGTAAGCCTAGATGACATCTACACGCAAAGACCTCGAATTAAATAAAAAGAGGAAAGCACAAAATGGGTCCACATTTTTCAATTTCGTTTCCATTTAAGATAGGTAGAGTGCACAACCAGAAACGAATGTGATCCGCCGCTCCACAGACATTTCAGATGCCCCCTCCCTACATACAGGAAATATCTGGATTCTGTCCGTCACCTGCACAAATTGGCATACATATTTTCGCCCTTACGCCTATGGGCGGTAGGCAAGGGCAGATCCGGGTTTTTTGCTGGGTGGTCGGAAAATTTTTGTCTGTACAAGGCAGGAGGTTACTACATGTAGTTGCCGCCATTGGAGAAGCAATTTAAACTTTTTGTTTCGTCCTTAACCGTAAACGAAATATAAGACCCATTCATGGTTTAAGCTTTTCAAGGGGGTCTTCAAACCTTTTAGCCGTGGCTCACCCCCACCCCACAATGGCAACAAGCGGGGGTGGGGGTGACCCCCAAAACCTGATCTGCACCTGTGTAGGATTTTATATCTTTCTCCGACCGATTTTGGAGTCGACAACAATCAATGGCCCTACAAATGCCCAGGTATGATTTCAATGCAATTCGTTTGGCGAAACCATCCCCAGGACGAAGCTCATAGGCAAGTACAGGGGCTGACGTATTAGGTCGAGCGTGAAATTCGGACGCTACATTCTATATGGCGCCTCGATATAATATAGCGCGTCCGCGAACATAAGAAGAAGTTTCAGGAGCTTGTTACCCCCGTTTCAGACAGGCGTTCTAGAGTCGGACGACCCAAATTAAAAGCAAATTTTGAATTAAGTGTGGCAAACGTTCGACGTCTGAAACAGTTTGGAGATACCATGCCTGCTAGCAGGCAAAAGGTCGACACTTAAAGGCGCTCGGAACGACACCAGAACCACTTGGTTTCAGATGTTGCTCTTTTCATGAGCCAAACCTAATCAGCCTTTTAGACGGATGGCGGACACAATAGGGGCGCTACTTGGTTTGGGAAAAATCTTTTGTGTTTGCTCCTAATTCGCCCACTTCAAATAACGCCTCCTATTGTGTCCGCCATGCTTCTAAAAGGCTAATGCAAATTTATGTACATGTTTTAAGTTTGTCTGTCTGAAACCTAAATTGAAGTGGGTCGACCCTAGTCGCTCTATAATCCTATTTGGTTTGAGGCGACCCAAGAACGCCTTTCTGAAAAGGGTGTTTCAGGAGATTTTGTTTCAAATATAGGCAAAGGTTTTTTTTTATTTCAAATGTAGTCTAGCTTATAAAGCTAGCCTGAATCTCACACATATACCATGCCATTTGGCGGTGCATGTTTCATTCACTTGTTTGACATTCCTGTTGGACAATTTGTAACCATTCAGTTTGTTTTATGAAATCAGAAAACTGGGGAATTCTATTTCGCAAGGAAATAAGTAAGTGAATTCATCGGCCTATTTGTTTCAGACAAATTTTGTATTTTCTAATTACATGTACTTACGTGTTTCACACGTGGGTCCTGTGTACCCGGGAGAGCAGTGACAAATATCAGGTGGGAAGATACACTGTCCATTCACACACTCCGGCTCACATATTGCTATCAGTTAGAACATAAATTACGTTTTAGGATTTCTGCTCAAGCGTTTGCTGCGGGTCGGGATGATATCCCCAAAGTAACATTGTTTAAATTTGTACAACCAAAATCTATGAGAATTGGCATTGTTGGCATAGTTGTCTGTCCTGTTGTACCACCAAAACATATGAGAATTTACTTGTATTTCTTCAGTTTGATAAGCTTGTAATAAGTGGAGTATAATAAAGTGTTGTAGTCGAGTACTTTCCGAGTACCAATGTTCTCCGCAAAATACTTAACTGGGT